TCAATTTGAAGAGATGAAGTTTGTCCTTGGTCTCATGTAAAAGATTCCAAGCCGTATTAGTAGAGAACTCTCCCGTTGGAGTCAGACACCAAATTAGTTTGTCTAGCACTTGCTTCAAGCGGATAGCTAAAGTATGAATGTAAGCCATCAAATTGCCACCTCCTAACTTATGAATAAGATCAGTATTCCAATCATCCTTTGCACAAACATCTATCAACTGTAACCTTGGTTCATTAACAATCCAGCCTTGGTCATATAAAGAGCCAAAACCTGTCCAGTTTGCATACCAAAATGAGATTTTTCCTTCGCTGATCATCCACGTACTGTGTTCATGAATAAAAGGAAGATGTTTACTTAAATTATGCCAACATGGGGATGAACTAAGTCCAGGTGAATAAGAGTTCATGTTAAAATTTACAGTCAAATATTTCTGCCTTATGAATGCAGCCCATAAAGAGTCATATGCCAAAACTCTCCATAGCATTTTACATTAGAGTGAGTATAAAATATCAAATAAACTTCGGACACCCAATCCCCCTTCATAAGGGGGGAAACAAATTTTCTTCCAAGAAATCCAATGATATTTATGCTTCCCTTCATAATTACTCCAGAAAAAATTAACAAAGATCTGTTGTAGTTCATGAATAACTTTATCTGGAAAGTGTATCACTGACATTAAATATATAGACGTAGAGGTTAATACCGATCGAATGAGGGTGAGCTTACCTTCCCAAGAAAGTAGTTTACCTTTCCAGCCTGCAACCTTTTTATGAACTTTGTCGACCATCGGAGCAAATAACGAGGAAGTGCAACGACCATAAAATAGTGGGGCCCCTGAGTAGCTGAAGGGTAGAGAGTTTTCTTGAAAATTAGTAACAGATGCAATAATCCCCCGACGAAAAAATGCTGTTTTTCTACTGACAATAAAAGAGCTTTTCTGAGTATTTATAAATTGACCAGAAACTTTCTCATAAGAATGCAAAAATTCCATCAACACCTTGAGAGAGCCCCTAGACCCGTTGGTGAACAATAGAAAATCATCTGCATATAACAGATGTGAAACTGGTGAGCAATTGTCGAGAACCTAATAAGGGGATTTTTTTCCTGTAACAGATTCAATAGTCCTCTCGATAGAGGTTCTTTACTAAGAATGAACAATAGCGGAGATAGAAGATCTCCTTGTCGAAGACCCCGAGTAGGTGCAAAGAAGCCAGCTTGTTCTCCATTAATTTTTACTGAAAATTTAGAGGAAGAAATAGCATTATGAATAAGAGAGACCCAACCTTCAGCAAAACCAAAAGCTCTCAAGACAGCCAACAAGTAGTCCCACTCTACCCTATCAAATGCCTTAGCCATATCAATTTTAAGTATAGTAGTACCTCCACGTGAGCGCTTGTTCAAATGCTGGACTAATTCTTGAGCTAAAGAAATGTTTTCTTATATCAAACGTCCCGCCACAAAACCACCTTGATTCTGAGAGATAATTCTTGGGAGCACCTTAGATAATCTATTGGCCATAATCTTGGCAATAATTTTGTAGAGCACCTGACAAATACTTATAGGCCTAAAATCAAGAAACGTGTTCAGCTTGTCTTTCTTTGGGATGAGTGAGATGATAGAAGCATCCAAGGCATCTGGATAGAGAGCCCCTACAAAAAATTCTCGAACGGCTGCAATAAGATCATCAAAAATTATAGCCCAAGCATGAATATATAAGGATGAAGAGAATCCATCGGGACTCGGTGCAGAATCCTCAAGATTGCCCTTAACTGCGTCATACACTTCATGTTCTGAAATCACAGAAAGGAGCATTTCGTTATCCTCACTGGTAACTAAGTTAGGCACAAGAGAGAGCATGGGAGATAAATCACGAC